TAGACATGCGGTTTATAATGAGATCAAACTTACAGTAAATAAATTAGTTTCATATTTCAATATTGTAGATATAACACTCGCAATTATTTTATATTTTTTTACTTAATCTTAAGTGCCATTATTAAGTTATATTCTTATACTTGTGTTATCAAATACTATAGGGACTGCATTCTGAATCCCTTGATCATCTATTAATTTGTAATCAATCAAACAATTTTTCCCACCATTCATTTTAAAACTATATTATTATTTCATCTCTGGGTATCCATATATGTAAGTCATATCATCAATCTAAGGAGTTACAACTTGCACAGTAGTTTCATTACATTATTCATCTTGTACTATTACCTTGATATAGATTGTTTCATTTTTTGGATTTATTTCACCGTCTGATAAAGGATATAATAATATTCCAACAAAGCTTAAATTGTATGTTCCAATTTAGGAGCTCAAAGTTGGATTACTACTTATAACCATTGAAGTTTAATCAAATGTAAAAAGATTAGGTCCAGAGGTTTATATTATATTTGAATTAAAATTATGACTTGTTGATGCATCTGAAAAAGTATATGTTATAGAGCAACCTGTTGTATTGGTATTAAAAGCATTAAGTGTAAAATTTTGTATACCCGAATTTAGCGTATATGTAATATCGGACTAGGAAGTAGAAGTTATGGATGCATATGAACAGTCACCTATCATAATTAGTTTAAATGAAACTTCAGTGTTTTACTCATTGTTAATTCTACCTAGCATCTTTATTGTGTATATCCCATTGTATTCCTAATTAGATGAAAAAACAGTGTACTCTCTGGTACTGGCTACAAATGTGACAAAACCGGATACATCGCTAATATTACTAGAATATTTGAATATAACATCTAAACAAGATTATTGTAGAGTAAAAGCAGGAATCGTAATAATCATTGCTGTGCTTCCAATAGTATATATCTTATTACCTATATTTGGAGTAATTATTGACTTCATTGAAGTAGTTAGAATTTGAGGTACGATATATGTGACAGCGCTGGTTGATGTTCTAGAAGCATATGAAGTTGTCGCTGTTGTATTCACAAAGGTACTTGTTAAAGTTGAATATATCAAAGGTTCATTTGTCATTGATTAAGGAGAAGATAAGGAATTAGTTATTGTAAACTCACTCTCTGATGGGTTAATATTCATGAGCCAGCCAATGTTTTTAGTAAAACTAGTTGTTGTGAGTGCTTCACTTGTAAATGTGGTAATGGACCCTACATAGAGCACTTAGGATAAATCCATCCAGCCAGAAAAAATTTTATTATTCAAACTTGATGCGTAGTAATTTATGTCTCTGTATCGATATTAGGATCCCGAAAAATCAGCTTCTCCGAGCCTTAGTTAATTGTTATTTTAAGCAACAAGATATCTTAAAGTCAAGCAATCTATTGCTTTTACTTATATGCATTGAGTAAAACCATTTATTAGACTGCAAAGGTTAATTTATAGGAATAAATAATTACGTTGATGAGCCTAAAGAGATTGAGGATCTTGCAGCATTTACATTAAGTTTCAAAATCAAAACATTTTAGCCATCTTCTGCACATGCTGCAAGACATCTTGTACTAGCTGAGGTATCTTGCAAATAATCAAGACTTTTAATAGAAAACTATTAAGTTGCTGCGCTATTTCTATAGAATTTTATTAAAAATGTTATAAGTAGCTTAAAAGCTAAGTCATACCTAATGGTGAATATCTATTAAATTGCTCCAGTATAATAAACATTAACAACAGCAGTATAAAAGGATCCTCCACTATCTTTTAATATTCCTCCGTAAAAATAATAACTAGCTTATTCATCATTTACTACAGCATTTGCCTGTGTTTAAGTCTGAGGCCATTTTAAATTGAAAATTGTATTTTTATTTGAAAGGGCAGAGCCGAATTTTAAAAAATAGAAATACTATGTACCGTAATGTTGCATTGCTAGGTAAAAATTTCCACTATTTTCATATTTCAAACCTTTGGATGGAATAATACCTTTGATTCCATTGGTTGAAGTAAAAAATCCACTTATGACTCCTGCAGAAGTAATCAGCAAAATATTAAATGGATCTGTAGAGGAAGTTGTGGTTTCAAGGGACAATGCTATTGGATTAGTACTATCGTCTTTGAAGCTAATCGCTGAGACTGAAATGTATGATAAAATGGTTAAAATCATTGTCCATCGAAATTCTGCTCCTTTCTTTACATATACTACTAAAGGCTTTTATCCGCTTAATTATGAGACTACATTGTCACTTGTTGAACCCCCAATAACAGTATTTCCTAAAGAATCCTAATCCAAAGCATTAAATTAGGTACTATCTAGAATTCCTCCAACTAATCTTGGATATCAATTTTCAGTGAAGCAAGTTTATTGATATATTAACTATTCAGGATAATTAGATGAATCAATAATTCATTACCTATGGAATTAGCGTCGAAATTATAAGATACAACTCCTTTTTCATGAAAATTATTTATTTTAATTAATTAAAAAAATCCATTGTTGTTTTTTGTATTGGATTTATTTTTTGCCATTAAAACGTCAATAATGATCTGATGGGGTTTTGGGGTTTTGGGG